ATTCGGTATTGTTGGCGGCGGAAGAGAGGAGATCGTGGAAGACACGTCCGTAGGTGGGGGCACGTTTGCCAGCCACCACCGGCACCGGTGCGTCGGCGTTCAGCATGCAAATGCGAAGAACTTGTGCCATGATTTTACCCAGCGAGTATATGGATTTCAAGTCGTCTGTCTAGTGTCAAGTAAGTCTTTCGATACTGATTCATCTATCTTGCTCTATGTCACTTTCGATATATGGGTCTAAATTCGGCCGTGCACGTGACAGCCGCCGATAAGCGGTTGACGTTTCTCGCGATTTGCCACGTCTTTCCACCACGGTCTACTTATTTAGTCTATCTTGACCAAACACAACGCTGTCTCAATTCTGGTCGCCTGGATACCTCTGTCGCCTGGATACGCGATGGTCGCGCTATTGTGCGAACGGGAAACAATCGGACATTGCGCGCCGATGTAGTCACGGTATCAGTATGCCCGGCACTTCACAGACCATCACCTTGCCGCATGCGTACTTCATGGCATATCTATGTCGTCTACCCATACAGATGCCAGCTCTCGGGATTTGAGGGCCTCGGAGCTAGCACTATTGAGGCATAGTGGGATGGCCTGGTAGTCCACGCTCGGCCGTGACCCACTGGCGGAGTCGAGAGTCCGAAGCGTCAGCTCTTTGTTCCCTCAACGCTAAGCAACGTACATGGGCATGCGAACCGGTTGATCATTGCCGTCGCCAAAACGCGGAGAAAACGAGCGCCCACGAGTCAAGGATGTAGTGATAGTCTTATCGAGCTGGCCTCTAATGACCCATATCACATTCAACCGCTGTCTAGCTGGAGATAGTGACACCCAACGAGATACCAAGATACACATTCGTGATATGATTCTTGGTTGTGGTCCAGCTCTTGTATAAATCACGAGCCTGGTGAATGTGTTCGAAACACCTCACAGGAACTTCTTTTTGCGTCCTAATCTTCACCCATTTACCAATATCATGGCCGACGATAGCAAGGTCATGTCGTCTGCCGACGTCGAAGATACGCACTCCGTCAAGATCGGCGAAGTCGCTTCAGCCAATGTTGATGTCGCTGCTGCCTACGCCCATCACCTTGAGGGCGAGAATGCGTACACCAGAAAGGAAGCAACACGTCTACGATGGAAGCTGGATTTGCGTCTCGTACCATTGTTGTGGTGTGAGTGCTTGAGGCAGGAGATCATGGCAAACATGCACTAATGGACGTCTCAGTCAATATCACGCTGGGCGCTATGGACAAAGTTACAACAGCTACGGCTGCCCTGTATGGCTTCCGGGCTGACACCGGGTTGACCGGAGATCGATATAGCTGGGTCGGCAGTGCCTTCTATGTAAGCAAGTCTAGTCAGCGTCGCATTTGTACTGCTAACGGTGATGAACAGTTTGGCTACCTGGTATGGTGTCTTCCTAGCGGCAGCCTCCTCCAGCGCTTTCCGATCGCCAAGCTCATGTTCGTCGTTCAACTCCTTTGGGGCTGTATACTCATCGCGACCGGCTTCGCAAACAACTTCCCAACTCTCATTGCACTACGTGTGCTGCTTGGAGCCCTTGAAGCGCCGATCGTACCAGGCAATTTCCTTATCATCGGCATGTGGTATCCTCGACGTGAGCAACCACTTCGAACAGGCCTGATGTATACTGGACTCTCAGTATGCTTCACTGGTCCGATTGGTTATGGAATCGGTTTCCTCGCAGGCGAACACCAATGGCGTGCCATGTTTTGGATTACAGGTGCGATGACCATTGTGTGGGCTTGTGTGATCGGCATCTTCTTGCCTGACAATCCCGTCAAAGCGAAGTTTGTTACGGAACGGCAAAAGGCAATTGTGATCGACAAAATCCGGCAAGATCAGACCGGAGTGGAAAACAAGACGTTCAAGAAGGAACAGATGATCGAAGCCTTCCTCGACCCGAAGACTTGGCTGATGTTCTTCTTTCACATTTGGATTAGCAGTAAGGAAACCTGAGGTACCAACACTACAGACATGAGCTAACAACCCCAAGTTCCGAACGGCGGTCTAACGAACTTCACGCCTCTTATCATCAAAGGCCTCGGTTATACATCACAGCGCTCGACGCTCCTCACGATGCCTACCGGTATCTTACAAACCGTGGCATCGTACGTATGTAACGGTGGGGTCTTCTTGACCGCGAAATACTTCCCTGCGAAGCAGCTGCGAACTGCTTGGGTTATGTTTGGTATCATCGTCGGCATGATATCCGCAGTCTTCCTCTACGTCTTGCCCCTCGACAACTATAACGGACGTCTCGCGGCACTATACTGCTCATACTTTTACCTTGGTCCATACATTGTTTCACTTGGTATCAACACGGCAAATACCGCGGGCCATACTAAGAAAGTCACAGTCAATGCGCTGGTCTTCATCGCCTATTGTGTTAGCAATATTATCGCTCCACAGTTCTTCAAGGCTGATCAAGCTCCACTGTACCCACTTGGTATGGGTGCCGTTCTGGGTAGCTACGTGCTATCGATCATCACCATCGCCATGTACGCAACATACTGTTGGTACGAGAACCGGAGGCGTGATCGGATTGATTCCGACAAGGGTGGGAGAGTGCATGCAGATACCGACTTCCGCGACCTGACTGATAAGCAGAATGTGCATTTCCGATACGTATGGTAGGTGCGAAAGAAGATGAGGTGGAATATATACAGATTTGCAGGATCAAAAATACAACCGACTGCGCAATGCCTACAGAACTCTCGCCGTATTTGTGTCATCGATTCGTGTTAGATGCTAGTTGTGATCTAAAGACTTCCCAAATTTTGATCAAGATCAGTACAGCCAATAACTTATGTAACCATTTGCTACAGCAAAATTACTCAACAATTTGCTTGTCAAATGTCTATCCCCAGTGGATGAAACTGTGTTCGCGTTGATCGGAAGTCGCGAACCGATCAAGCATACTGTACGCCCCCGCACGTCAAAAGTGGAGCACCTCGTGGATTGGCTTGTCCCTTGATAACGGAGTTTGTCGGACTTCAAAGTGCGACGCTGCGACAGCACCCGGCTCATGCACCTTTGCGTAGTGGGGGAGCTACATACCCTGCATATACTAGATGACAAGGGTAGCAACCGTTTTCGTGCATCGCACGTTGGGAAAGCTACCATAAGAAGCAGACGAAATTTATGGATAAATGGTCTTCAGTACCCTTTCGATATAAACATATCATCCTCCAAGCTAGGGAGCTCGATAAACATAATCATATATCATTGCAACATATCCAATACCATGCCAGAACTTCAGATATCAGTTGAAGATGAGCAAAAGGCTTTCGAGGCTGATGTAGCTGCGATTGAGAAGCAATGGAGCTCCGCAAGACAATCCCACTTGAAGCGGTATGTAAACTTCGCAAGTTATTACGAAAACCGATTCACAATAGAGTTGAGCTGATTTCATACATAGACCATACTCTGCAAGCACTATAGCCGCGCTTCGAACGTCCATTCCCGCACCCTCAGATGCCTCTTCGACCCAGGCCATCAAGCTCTGGAATCAACTGCACGCCCACAACAAAGCTGGCACATGCGAGTTGACATTCGGTACTACAGATCCCGTTGCGGTTTCCCAGATGGCCAAGCACCAGCAAACCGTCTACGTCTCTGGTGCTTTATGTGGGTTCTCAGAAGTCGCACTCCCGGGAATGGACCACGCCGACTACCCTTGGGATACCGTGCCGAAGGTTGTGTCAAAGATCTTCAAGAGCCAACTTTGGCATGATCAGCGACAACGACAGTACCGATTGCGACATCCGATCGAAGAGCGACAAGGACTGGAGAACTGGGATTATATGGCGCCTATCGTCGCGGATGGCGATATGGGCTTCGGTAGCCTCACTAGTACGATGAAAATGGCACGCGAGTTCGTGGACGCTGGTGTGGCTATGATACACATCGACGACCTAGCCATCGGCATGAAGAAGTTCACAATTGGTCAAGGGCGAACTATTGTACCCACTCAGGAATATCTGGATCGTCTGACAGCTGTGCGGATGCAATTTGATGTCATGGGCGCGGAGACGCTACTGTTGTGCCGCAGCGATACAGACCATGCTGAATTCATCACCAGTGTCGTCGATGAGCGTGACCATGAATACGTGCAGGGCGCAACGAAGGAGGTTGAGCCACTGCAAAAGTGCCTTCAGGCCGCACAGATCGAAGGTAAAGATTTGAAGGTTGCACGAGACGAGTGGAAGGCCAAAGCGGGAATCAAGACATTCGACGAAGCTGTGGAGGCCGTTGCGACGGAAGAAGAGTATGCCGCATATAAGGCAGAGCTGTCGAAACAGAAGTTCGCGTCCCTGTCCGATCGTCGCAATATCGCAACCAAGACCGTCCAACAGGAAGTGTTTTTCGACTGGGAGCTATCGAGATCAGCCATGGGTCAATATATGCTGAAAAGCTGCGTCAAAGGCATCGTCGAGCGTGCCATCGCCGCTGCACCGCTTGGAGACGTAACGTGGGCACGTATGGATTCACCTAACTGGGGAGACATCGTTGAATTTCACACAGAAGTTCGGAAGGTGTACCCGGACAGACTTTTCGCCTTTGGCTACACCGGCGACTACGACTTTGGGAAAGCCGGCTTCAGTGAGAATCATGTTAAGAACCTACATCTTGACCTTGCCAAGCTAGGAATCGTGTGGCAGGTCCAACCGATCTGGAGTCTGCAAGGCCTGAACATGGTGACGGAACAATTCGCAAAGATGTGGCAGGAGCAAGGTATTGCTGCCTACTTGAAGTCGATCCAAGGTCCAGCTCTTAATTCAAAGCCTATGACGGACGGCTTCGAGAAATTGAGCTATTGTGGTGGGTACCTGGCAGATGCATTCTTTGAGACAGTCGCAGGAGAGTCAATTGTAGAGAAAGGGAAGGCTGCCAACTTCCAGAGACACTGATAGCTGTAATATGTTAAACAAATCATGGTTGATAAAACCTCATCCTTCATTGGTGCCTCATGTCCAGCCGTCGAAATCGAAAACGCCAGGGAATGAGAGCAGCCCCTCGACATCCGGATCGTGAAGCCCAGGTTCCGCCATTCCATACTCGAACGGCTGTTGCATGGCGAATGGCATCTGAAAACTTGCATTGATTTGCTGTAGCTGAGAGTTGAAATGATCCTCAGATTCCTGCTGGGTTGGGCCGAGCATGCCAGCGACTGACGGAGGCTGAGAAGGTTGAATGGAGCGAGGAAAGTCTTCGTGTATCATCTCATCGATCATGCGTAACACGGGGCGATGCACCACTAGTGCACGAACCTGTGGGAGGTGCGCTTGAATCGCCGTGACCGTTTTGTCTGATAATCGGGTCGGTGGCTTGTTGGGTCGATCGACTAGCGGTATCTCGCGCGCCAGTAATTCAAAGACGTCTCTCAGACATTCCGCCTTGGCCCATCGGTCTGCCATTATCGCCAGAATATTGGAGCAGGCACGTAACGCGTCGGGAACGTCAAGGGAAAAGTAATTTTCAGTTCTTTGTTCTGGTGGAGTAGCCCAGAAACAGTACAGCAGTGTGATGCCGGACTGGAACTGAACGAGAAGCTGCTGATATTAGCGGGAGCATCATCGGACGTGAATCATACTCACTGCAAGCCATGGTTGAGCAATCTGACGATCAATCTGGGTTCTTCGAAACATTAAACAAGCTTGACTGCTGGCTTGGACTGACTGCAGAAGCGAGAATACAAAGTCAGTGTGTGATTAATGTGCATTCCGTGCAGTAATGGCTTACCCAGTCGCCAGCAGACCCGACTACGTTGGCTTTTGTTGGCCGATAGAGCATGAGCAACGTGTAGTGATAAATCATAGCTTGCCAACGTTGCGACGTGTAGCCTTTCGACTGTGGATCTGAGAAATTCTTTACACGGGACTTAAAGTTGTCCAATTCTGTAAGAATTCTTATTCGCCAATCCGAAGTGTTCTCGAACTGAGTGTCATAATCCCATCGAAGTGTAACGGCACTAATCTCGGATTGTATACGCCTGCACTGGAGTATATGAAGCGCTGAAGAGTTGCATGTATAATGCTGAGAGTCAGGTAAGTCATGACTGGGCGGAGTAATCGCAGCGGTTTCCCATAGTTCATGGTCCTCGATATTAGCAAATGGTCTTACGGTTATCATATAGTCTGGTATCGATGGAGGCAGATCGAATGATGACATGACCAGTCGATCAAGCAAATACGCACACCAAAAGCACCGTCGACGGACTTGAATCATAAGCCTCGTTTGAACGTTCGCTGATGGCGGCTCCATCTCACCGAGATGTAGTTGTTGCTGAACGCATTGTCGCATAGCCGTGGACGCAAGAGAAATAATACGTTCCGTGGAGCTCTGATGCAGTGCATGAATGGATAGCAGGAGATAGGCTTGCACCTGAAGAATTCTATCTGGCTGACGTAGCACAGCCGGTAGCAGCGAAATTCCACTGTTGTAAAACTCTCGCGCATTAAGTGCTGCCGCATACGGTTGACGCAGAAGCACTAAAGATGTTGCGTACACTAGGTTGACGAAAAAGCCTTGCCATGCTCGTTCTTTGAGGTCGCAGGAGAGGCAATGCTTCCATTCCGAATGCCATGTGAGGAATGTGTCCCAATGGAAGAAGGGATACTGAGCTTGAGCACGCTCGCGATACGCGTCAAGCAATGCTTCCTCTAGCTCTGGAGACATGGTAGCCATCAGTGCGTGTGCGCTATTCATAATGGCTGGTGCCGGTCCCGGGTTGGTTGGACTGATAGCAGCATCGTGAGTTGAGAACTGAGCTGATGGCGATGCAATTAGTCCGAAGACGAGATGATTAAGGTCGGGCTCATCATCGAGACCAGGAGCTATAGCGTAACCTGGCGATGAGCCAGAAAGAATGGACGAGCGTCGCGGTGGGACGGTTCGTTGAACCGGTGGACTGGCAATCGCGCCCATGACACCGCCATTTCGAATCCCACTGCTCGCCGGCGATGTGTCGGGATTATTTTCTTGATCAGGCCTGTCAGAAGGTCTCTCGAGGTGGTCGAGACTATGCTGTGGGTCTAAAGACTCGAGCTCAGCAACGCGTCGTTCCAGAATGCGCACATATTCGCTTTCAATGTGTGGACGAGGCGCAGGTTGGGTGGGCAGACAATCTTCATCTCCTTTGATACAGTTCTGGCATGGTCGACGGTCTTCGCACTTCTGTTTCCGGGAGCGACATCGCTGGCAAGCCAAGGTCCGTTGCTTTTTGGGTGCCGGCTCCTGTGAGGGACTGGCAGGTTCATGCTCCATCGCTTGTGCTCTTCGGTTTTCCTTCCATGCTTGAATCACGCTATCAGTCGCAATTTGTTTGGTATTGTGATAGCGCACTTCGAGGCAGTGCAGGGTGTCGCGGTGATAGCAATGCCGGTTGCCGGATCAGCACGCGATAGGGATGGGAAACGATGCCGAAAGAGGCTACGCGTCCACGTGACTGACCTGCAATCTCCACTTCCAAGGTCATGCCCCGCTCATCAAATCTCCTGGTCTGAAGTCGCTCCAATGTGACACCACCCTTCATCAAGAAGACGAACAACTACTTCTCATTCTAATTCCAAGTACTGTAGTCTCATGCATGATCTCCAATTGCCAGGTACAGCTCGCCGCACGCGCCAGCATGACATGCAGGCGGCTGACGCCATCCGAAGAAGCTTGTTTGTTAGAGCCGAAGGGTCTGTGCGGATTTCCGGGCTTCTTCATACTAAGTTCCACTACACCCGCACGGCCCGCGCTGGGGAAACTGTTCGTGTCTATTAACCGGTGCTGTCGAGAGCTATGAAGCTGGCAGCACATGTGTCGGCACGCTACTCCATGTGCCAGGAGCTCCTCACTATGTCTTTGAAGGCTTGGTCGATGAGCGACTGCCATTACAACGTCGTTCACACTGCTACATGACGTCCGCGCCACGCTATGTTACGAAGCCTCAGCCTCATTTCGGTCCGCGAACAAGTTCTAAAGGACCGAAGACCGAACACAGCTGGAACAATTCCGCGATTACTCAAGCAGAACAGGAGACAGTGATCGTAATCAATCTGTAGTGATAGCATCGTTAGCGTAACGGTCTGTGAGTAGAGTTTTCTTCAGTATAAGATGCAGGTATGCTGTGCCTCGATTGTAACTGCGCCACCACTTCAGCAATCGACCGACGCAAACCATCATGCGCTCTACATTCTCCAGCCTGGCACTCTTTGCCGGAGCCTCTCTAGCAGCTTATGCCCCAAACACGACTTTCGAGCGGGAAACACGCAGCATTGATGAGATCTACAAAGCAGCTCTTGCCGAAGGTGGCGTCGTTACTCTTTGGCATGGCGGTGACGAGAAAACCCAACAGAATGGGTTGAAAACAGCCTTCGAAACAAGGTTCCCCAACATGACGCTCAACGTCACTGTCGATCTATCCAAGTACCACGACGGCAATCTTGATGATCAGCTGGCAGCCGACAATGTTTACGTTGATAGCATTATCCTGCAAACGCTGCACGATTATCCACGCTGGAAGAAAGAAGGTGCTTTGATGAACTACGCGCCATTGAACTTCGACAAGGTATACCCTGTGTTCAAGGACGCGGATGCAGCCTACAGTGGACTGCTCATCTTCAACTGGGGGTATGATACTCTCCAAACTGGCATCTCTTCCACAAGCTAAAACAACAATAGAATCTCCGCCAACATGAACAAGACTAGCACGCTACCGACATCGTACCAAGACTTTACCAAGCCCGAGTTCAAGGACAAGATTGTTCTGACCTATCCCAACGATGATGATGCAGTACTATACCAGTTCGAGCTCATGTAAGTCTATTCCATCCTACTTCGTATAAAGATCGACTAACAACATCTCTAGCCTACAGGAGCTTGGCCAGGAATGGTTTGACGCGCTGCTTGCCAACAACCCTCGCTGGGTACGCGGCACAGCAACCCCTGGCGCGCTCGTTCGTGCCGCCAACAGCAGCAGCGCAGTAACCTTCACTGGAGGCTCGTCATTCACGGACCAGCTACCGATTAGATATTCACTACCCAGCGATGCTAACTTTACCTCTTGGGCTCAGACCGGCGCCATCTTGAAGAAGGCACCACACCCCGAAGGCGCAAAACTGCTGCATAGTTTCATGCTCAGCGACGAACACCAAACCGGTGGCAGCTGGAGTGTTCGCGAGGATATCCCAGCGGGTAAGGGTGCGGAGCCCATCCTCCAGCAGCCTGGCACAGATGCTCCTGCGTTCGCGACGTGGATGGCAGACCGTAACAATGTCGAAAGGCGAAGGTTCTTTTACGAAGACAAGATCGGCACTGCCCAAGGTCTTAGCCCGCTCATTGACGACTTGTGAGCGTACTTTCACATTAAGGATCGAGAAAGCCACGCATTCGAGTGCCAAGTGAGTTGAAAAGTCGTGTAGACCTCCAAGCGACGCAGGGCCTGATATGCGTCCGTCCAAGCATTCGGTCAAATTCGAGTAGTATATATTATCATAGTGTTCTATACCAATTTGCCCATACTTTTAAGAATCTCGCCTTCCATCTTCTTCATTTTGAGTCTCTTTTCAAGTTCGATTATACCCGCTTTGTATACTGACATTGCCTTTCATGCAGGACTTCCTTACTTGGTGGCTACTCTGACACCATAGGAAGCGTTCATAGTTCGTCAGAATACCTCACGCGTGTCAGGTTCCAGAAAATCACGGCCTCAGACATGGAAAGGTCTTTTTCGGTGAATAGCTCCAGAGATAGACAGCAATCTGCAAGCGGCAAGAGGTCAAGTTTCTTGAGGCAATATCAGTCTCTCCAAACGTTTTGTGGCTCTTCTCTCACTTTCATCACTCGCTCACTCACCAGATGCAGTAATTTACCGCGCCTACACCGCGACAGTCCCCGCTAACCTATTTGATGCAAGTGCTCGATTATCTAGGTGCAAATGCCGTTATGTGCACACAACTCATCCAGTTATTGCAAGCCTTAGCTGTGACTCTTCCTGGTCAACTACTCCTCACCATGTCTGGATCAACACGAGCAGCCGCTAAGTAAGTAAAACCTGCTAGTTCTCCGAGCGCCGAAAAATAACTTGACTACAGGATGTTCAACAACCCCACTCTCTCAGATGTCAAGATCAAGCAAGTATACGAAGGCAAGATGCGCGAGTACCATGCACATAAGGCTGTACTGTGCCTCGCATCTGGCTACTTTCTCAACGCCTTTACCGGTAGTTTTAAGGTCAGAAAATGTCTTATGGTGACTAATACAACATACTAATTATCTCCAGGAAGCATCCGAGAGCACTATAGAACTACACGAGGACAAGCCCGAGTACTTCGATTTCCTCCTCAAGTTTATCTACACCGGCATTTACGATAAAGACGAGATCGTCAGGCTGGCTGGCAGCGATGACTGCAAGTGCGTTCTTATCCCCATCGGGATTTACGCGGTCGCTGATAAGTACGATGTCGCACAAATCTACGAACCGGCAGCAGAAGATATCAAGGCCGTTCTCATGAACGCTGTCAAAGATCGAAAAGACATACTCACCACTTCGATCAAGGCTCACTACGGTACTGAGGTCAAAGCTGATGGACCTATGGGACGCCTCATCACCGCTGTCATCTTCGAACACCACAACGACCTCCTCGACACCGAAGATTTCGAAACATGGCTCCTTGCTTACCCGACCTTCGCCGCAGACGTGGCACTTCACTTTCAGCGTGGCAAGATTGGAGGGAAAGATCGCGCTAAGTGCGTCAAGTGCCTTAAAAAGATTGTCGAAATTGATGTCATGGGCAAAATCAACCACGCTTTCTTCTGTCCTTACTGTTGCTCCCATCAATATCTTCCTGTATCTAAGTGAGAGCTAGGGGTGCTTCTCTGGTTATCTGGGTGGAATATGATGCTCAGCAACTCGAGACAATGCAGAGTGGATACGATGGGACAACATCTTGAGAGCTGTTTTTCTGCAAAACATCAACAGTACATACAGAGAGCTGGCTGTCCGGAATTTTGCTTGATAAAATGGGAGAAACTCCAGACATTACAGCTTCACCCAAACTTTGTGACTCCTCACCATGTTTCTTCCATCGTCACTCCTCTTGACCACATTACCTACTTGAATATCCGTGAGAGCTCCCATACCATCATCTGGATAGGGTAACCATTCCTCCACTGGATCCGTCGGTGCATTTGCTGGTGGAGAGGGCGCCCACTCAACGGCGAAGAGTAAATTAGGCATTTCTGTCATCGCGTCTCCACGGAAAATACGAATAGTCTTGACGCAACGATTGCCACCTATCTGTGCTTTATGTTGAGCAAGAAAGTAACCTACCGCTCTACCGTTTGGACTGCCTAAGAGCACGTTGTTAGTTCGATCCAGAACTCGAGGCACGCGAGACCTTGAAAAAGTATTGGAAAGAGGTGTAACACGCGAACGTACCCAGAAGAGCCATATACTGCGGGGTGTTTATCTTGACGTCGATTCCCGGCCAGAGGGGCACCCTGTCTAGTTCTTGCTCCCTCAGTATCCTATCGATGATTCTCCGCGTCTCGCCGTTGGTTATGAGCATAGACACAAAGCCATGAATTTCTGCCAACTTATCGCGCCTTACTCGATTCCAGAACCCCCATGCTAGGTCTGAACTCGCACGTAAAGCTGGCAACTCATCGGACGGAACTGGGTCTCCTTTGCGTATACGCCATAGATCACGGGCCTCTTTTACGGCAGAACCGCGCCGAAGGAAATAGATTAGACCGGCTTGCGGATTGATGATGATGGTGGCATAGGCCGTTGTGACCTAGATGTGGGAAGGTGTCAGTAAAGAGACAGCAGAAGAACTTCACGAATAAGCTCACCCTGTATCTCCGACCGTTGGCAGTATAATACTGCTTCTTGCGAGGTGGCATTCTCCCTTGTGGATCCTTTTCCACGATATCGCTATCGGCGTGAAATACAGATAAACAATGATTTGGTCCACCGTGAAGATTGTTCACTTTAGAAAGTTTCAGCTCATCGAGCATTGGCTGGAGTGCACCGATTTCACATTCGCCATCAGGGTCAGAAACATCTTCTTTGTAACCCTATGTCGCAAGCTCGTGCTTCATATCACCATCCCAAGGAGATGTCAAAGGATTCACGAATCGAATGGCTTCCGGCGGATTTTGAGTAGACGCAAACATAAGTTTTGCTCCTCGACATTGTGAGTCAAACCAGACTTTATCGGTAGCAGGGTTTGTGTAGCCATCATCGTTGTCATCATCCTCGTCTTCGTCATCGGAGTCGGAGTCGTCAGAATCGTCAGAATCGTCGTCGGGGTCGGAGTCTGTATCGCCTCTAGAGGAGAGTTTCTGGTACCCAAGAGCCTTAGCGTTACCGTTGATGACGGCCTTGTCATTAGTGAAATTCTGTAGATACTCAGTCGCGCCGAGGGCAATGAGACCTGCGATTAATATAATCCAATAGAGCTTCATTCTGTCTACTCGGAGTGTTGTAGGTGAGTGTGAGTCCGAGCTGGCAAGAAAAGGAAGGAGTGGAGGCGGTGCTAGCTGTAATCTTCACCAGACAAGCGAATATGATAGAGCTCAACCAACACAAACCAACAGAATAATGCTAGTCATGCAAGGGAGTGGTGAGAAGTCGTAGTGGGTTATCATTTAGGCTACGAGCGAACATGTTAACTGCGGAAATTGGGTAGCTGTGTATTCCAGGTGAGAGTGAAAGGCACGTTGAGATGCTAAGGCAGGCGCGCTGGAGCACTGAGGTGTCAAACAGGTCAATATTCATCAAGGTACAACACGAAGGTCGACCCCGTGTAAGCTGAGATGCAGCAGTAATATACATAAACTTTCACAGTATATTCAAAAATGGTGAACATGATATCGTATGAGGTGGAGTGTTTCTTAGCTTCGAGAGAACCGATTGGTTACGGTACTTGTACCCATGTAAGCATACAACCGCAGTGTAACAGCGTTGAACGTCAGCTTCCTGATGAACGAGCAAGAACATTGTGACATTTTCTACACCGCTTCGTATGATTGTCATGGATATCAATCGTCGTTACACTAGATTACCAGTACTGCAGCGTTGAATGCACAGAAATCGGTGTAGAGTGAGCGCTGGATACGTTACTTGATAGTCGGGGTGATACAAGGGTGTCGAAAGAGGTATATAAGGATGAGAAGACAGCGAGAGAATCATACAGTAGCCATCACTGCTTTGTCCTCCAGAAACATCCAGATCAATATTCCAAACCCTACCCTAGGTACAAGACCAACGACACGCTCAAAGTAGTAAGAGCCGTTCCTAGACATTCGAAACGCTTCAGCGTCCAAAACGTGACTGATGCTGTCAACAGACCAACCGAAGTCATGAGATTCACCGCTATCATCGCATCTCTTCTCGGTGCTGCCGTCACCATCCAGGCTCTCGAGCAGCCCCATCCTCTCGCAGATGTCAGCGCGCAAGCCTGCGCTGTGCGCAACTACGGTTGCGAAAACGGCTATTGCTGGAACGGGCAGTGTGGAAGCAAAGGAGAGTGGTGCTGGCTGGCCAAGAATGGGGGTTCGGGTGGTTGGTTGACGTGTGGAAGCGATGCGGCTTGTGCGCCGAATGTTGCCGTGGATGCTGGGTGTGCCGACTGTAACGTCTATCCTGCGGGCACCTGTGGGTGTTCATGCTGAGACTAGAAGATTGCGCGCTAGGGTGGTAACATAAAGCCGACATATCAGCTCACCCCTCATTTGAGCTCTTGTTCTGCAGGAAAAGTTTCCAGGTAGTGTTCGAGAACATCAACAACCTCTGCTTTTGGATCTTCGGCGCCACCTTTTCGCATCTTTGAAGCGTTCTCTTGCTTCTTTCTCGCACCTACTGCTCGCCGATGAGCGCGGCTTTGACGGTGTAAATTCCAGTCATTCTCGGTAATAGATGTTGTACCGCATGTTTCGCACACCTTCTTTTGCCAGAGGTCTGGTCGCTGTCCCAAATCGTACTCGCGTTTTGGCGTCAGCATTTCAGCTGCAACTGGTGATAGTGATGAGGGTGGTGTCAGTGGCTGGCCAGAGAGGAATTGTTCTGTGATGGCTGTGGCAGGTCTTACGACCTTGTCCTCCCATTGCGATATATCAGACCCATCAACTAGGAATGTGTTATCCTTCTGACCTGCCCCGAACAACGCATTAAGAAGCTTGATCCGAATCCATTTGATCTGCCGGTTGGCATATTGGCGGGTGGCAGCCTGCGTCTTCTCGACGGCTAGGCTCTTAAGCTTCTCTAGCTCAGGGGCCGTCTTCAAATCATCGGAAAGAGCGCTTTGGTATTCCAAAAACTCCTTGTATCCTATAGATACCCAAATGCCGCGAGTCTGGTCGATGATGGCGCCCGTACTGGATTCGTGGCGTTCGCGGAAGCTACTCAGTTCCTCAACCTCAGACAGAAGGCCTCGTGCGATCATCTTATCAACACGGCCATCAAGACGACGATGCAGCACATCCTTGTTTGCGTGAACCCAGAATACCAGAGTCTCGAAGCGAAGACTGTCAGATGCCGCGCCATCCGTCTGAGCAGCAAGAGTGTCGCGTTGGAGCTTTTGTTCCTTGTAGAGCTGCGACGCTGGTTTGCCTGTTCTTAAGTATATCTCAAGTGACCGCTGAATCTTGCGCCGCTCGTTGGGATGCCACCTGTCGGCCATGATGGGATCAACTTCCCTGAGCTTCGCATGCAGGACATCGGTAGGCTCTTCTAGTATCGGAAGAGGCTGGCTGTTCTCATTCAGGTTCAGCTCCGGCTCATCTGCCAGCGCATCTTGGAATAAGAGTGATTGTGTGTAGTAATGAGTGCCACCGACCAAGACTGGTAGCTTGCCTCGACTTCGGATTTCGTCGATCTAGATACGTCAGTGTTCCTCCAGAAAAGAGTTCTCTCTAATCATACTGTTCTTAAAGCCTCGCCCACAAATTTCCCTACAGTCCAAGTTTCTTCTTCAAGACTTATGCAGCCGAGGAGATGGTGAGGCACACCTTTCGTCTCATCCTGCGTTATTTTATTGGTGATGATAGGTAACCCGCGGTACAGTTGCATAGCATCTCCGTTGATGATTTCGCCATTGTATTTTCGCGCAATTTCCACAGCCAACTACCTACTGTGGTCAGCAAGACATGGTCTAAATGAGCAACATGGGCTTTACATCTGATTTGCCAGTACCTGTCGCACCCACAATAGTGATTAGGGGTTTGCGCGGCGTTTGGGCCATGTTGTATCTACTAAATGCTCTTGCAAACCGTAACATGCATTCGATGAGATGGTTGAAAGGGTCTCGAATGACTGAGTGGCCGAAAATGCTGGTTAGCGTAGAGCGGGGATGCGCTTTTCCCCTTCAACGCTAGCCCAACCATCCAGGAAGCCGATCCCATGGAAATCTCCCGTTTAGACAGATCGAAGCACAGCACGACTGGTGAAGGGACTCAGAAGTTGAAAAGCAAGAGAATGTGTAGGGTTGCCAGAAATTTGAGTTCATGAATTTGTTCAGATATCTTCGAAATGTTGGTACGAATGAAATATCGTTGTTGAATCTGATGGGGTATCATCGTTGAGTGCCGCCCGAACGCCTGTTGAAACTCCGTCGACGCGCATTGTTGAAGCGCGTCGAGAATGTATTCTTTTCCACTTCTTTCTCACTTGTCTTCCACCCTCTTCTCAGCTCCATAACCGCCCTTGCCCTCTAGACTCTGGTATGTCGCTCCCTCACCCTTTCCGTTTCTTGGTCCTCTCTCTGTCAGGTCTTCCTGTAGCCACTTCAACACCAGCTCACCCAATTGACTGTTTCCAGTGTACATGCGCTCGCCCTGCTCGACCTTGACGTCCATCTCCTCGACGCTACCCCACTTCTTGACCTTGCCCAAGCTCATATGCACGAGATGTGTAGGCCATGTCGCGAGATTGTCCAAGATGTGAGTCGCATACACGATAGTGCATGGACGCTCCAGTGTCTCCTTCTTCAGGAAGTTGAGGAAGTTGCTACGCGACAGCAGATCTAGATCAACTGTGATTTCATCCAACAGTAAGATGGTCCACGGTCGCAGCAGACCCATGGCGAGTTGTACACGTCTCCTCTCGCCATCTGATACGGCGTGCATGCGCCAGCTGAGGTCGATGTCAAGTATGCGTACGAGCTCGTCGCGGCGCTCGGTGTAGTGATCGCCGCCGATGGAGGATAGAAGCGTGGGCACGTCGATGTCGGTACGCACAATGGGGTTGAGTACCCACTCAAGGCCAAGATAGGTCACACCCTCAAGGCCCATCTTGAAGGGGTCGATGCCCGCAATGTGGACGGTACCGGAGGGGGCCATGCGCTTGCCGGAGAGGAGGCGGAGAAGCGTGGTTTTACCCGCGCCGTTGGCTGGAACTGTCAGCTGAACCCTTTTGAGATCCATCCCTGTTGTTGCATACCTCCGATTAGAAGTGTCCTGCTACCAGGTGGTAGGTCTAGGAAAACATCCTTCAGCCCACTTGAGCCATCTGGGAAGGCATAGCTGAGGTTTTTCACGTCGATTGACGGCGCGACTTCCTTGCCGTTGATTGTGTTTGACATTGTGACTATGATTTGCGTGTAAACGGCTGTCACACTGTTGGTGGGAGGAGACTACATTTTGTAGGCTGGTTGCGGTGGAGTCATCTCGGTGGGCTAGATCGGTAAGTCGACATGAGTGATGCCATCATTCCGCCAATAAGCACGCTAGGCTAGGATAGGCAGGCAATATTCTGGACCTTAAACGGCACTTCTTCTCAACCTCAAGTTTTTCAACATCGTCGTACTACTCGCTCCGTCATTCGTGGCTTCAGTGGACTCAGGCCAGCTATGCGTTGTGAGTCAATGCGGTCCGCGGTGCCATACCATCACAATGCCGGGGATCTCCGACACCGCGACGCCAGCGTGGGCAGCCCCAATACCTGGACATGGAAAAGCAAGTATGTCTGGGGAAGAACCGCAACTCACGAAAAACGTTCCAACAATGTATCCTGCACATCTGACGAAGAAATGAATTGCATGCGATTCAATCAGGCCACAGACCGCGCAAACTAAAACCACACGGATATGTACAAGGTTCACTTCCCACTATATACAACCACTAGTCAACCCCACTAATGCATCTGCGTCTGACAATGCGCCTAGAGCGAAACACAGCCGTTGATAGAGTCCTCAAGGAACAGACCACCGTAAATCTGGCCCTCGTCAAGGTTGGCCTCCTGGAAACCAGCGTTGGCAACATCAGAAGTACCAGTGGGCTTCTTGAGTATACCCATCTGGTATTGGCCGCCACCCTGAAGGTTGACAGTGAGGGGACCAGCGACCTGCTTGAGTGGGGCCTGGCCGGCAGAGTAGAAGATGGTGGTTTTGCTAAAGGTCTTGTTAGTACCACAATAATCAACTTGTAGTAGGTGAATGAACGTACTTGGCGTTGAAGTCGAGCTTCAGGGCAAAGTTTTGCCATTGAGTCTGGTCGATCGGGACGCTCCAGAGGAACTTGCTGTCGCGGTCAAGAATCTTGAACTGGTTCTTGTCGGCATCGCTCTTTCCGATGAGAGATCCAGTCTGGAACTGAATCTGGTTGTTGCTGAAGTCGGCAGCCTCGTGCCAGACGTTGAGGTACTCGTGGGTGAGGTTCAAGGGCCTGGCAGGGTCCTGCTTGACGCTGAAGTGGAGAGTCTTGACACCCTTGCCTCCCTCACCGTCAGCGGCATCCTTGAGGAACTGGAGGCCTGCACGGCGGAAGCCCTGCTGCTTCTGGAAGATGGACTCGTCGGAGATGGTGACCTCTACAGCCTTGAACTTATCGCCGTCGAAGCGCGATGATTCGTTGGGGAACTTGAGGATTTGCGACCAGGTCAGGTTGTTGCCCTTGACGAAGTCGGCGTTGAAGATGGTGTTGGTAGAAGCCGAGTCGAAGAAGGTGGGTGTGGTGTTGACAGGGACACGGCCATCGAAAACGATGGGGCACTTGGGCTCAGCGCGAACGGCGTTGGCGTGGGGGTGCGGGTGAAGGTATGGCGCAGCCAGTGCGCCGGAGGCAACTGAGGCCAGGGTAAAGAATGACTGAGTGAACATGGCGATGGTTAGAGAATGTCGTCGAGACTGTGGATGCGCTTGAAGTGGATGAGACACCAGATGGCAGGTGGAGACAACTCTTTATACAACTCTAAAACATATGACTGAACATGTATCTACCCCAACACCATCCCAGCCCGTTCGCGTATTAGATGGACACTGCGGTGCCAACGCGTCCGGCATTTTCCACGCTCCGAAATAAGGGATGTTCGCGCCCTTCATTTGGGTTACTGCAAAAGATGGGCCAGTTGGCCAATGGCAGGGGAAGGGGAAGAACGATGGAATATTCTATAGTAGGCCCGACGACGTCAGGGTAAGGCCGCATCAATATAGGTGAAATATAGCTGGGACACTTCTGTCATGAGGCTCCTCAACCAGGATGTGGGGTAAAGTGCACGGCTGCTAGTTAACTACCGGACGGTCCGGCATCCCGATACCTTCGTCAATCAAGAGGATTAAAGGCAGTAAGCAAAGCATTTCGCCGACAAACGACAGTGTCGATCTTCTGTAGTCATTATCCTTCAACCCAACTTTTCTTTGTACCGTTTTCCATCTCGACTACCACGTGCAGTCTTCGTTGCTCGCAGCGCAATTTCATGCGCGGACCAAAAGCGCACTCCGACATTTCCAAAAAGCGACCGAATGGCGCCGTCAAACACACCATTGCAGCCAAGTTTCATCAACACCGGGAATGCGACCGAATCGCAATGATCTGAACTAGCATTGATGGACGGCGATGTAATCGACGTGGCTCTAGAGTCGTTCGCGATGCTGGGCATGATCTTAACATGGGAGTATCGTGTCTTGTCAGGGTGTGTATGAAGTGCAAACGGCCGTTCAGCGGCGATCAGCTGGCCCAAGCGGAAGAAGTTTATTTCTTTACCTGCGGTATTGCGGGACGTTGATACTCCGGCCACCGCCTGAACTTTTGTACCGGCTTGGTCAAAATCGTCATCAACTCCCTGGCGTGACGATTATCGATGGTACATGCAAGGGACGTCAGGCTCGGTGAGAAGATGTGTGCTATTATCCTTTGCAGTACAGTTCTAACACCCGCGGTATCATTGCGCCTGGTGAATTTATGCCTTGAGTCCATGCTCAAACTCTGTTCATATTATGGTCGCCCAAGAGGTCCATCAGCCTGATTCCCATCTTCCTGTCAACATGGCGCTTCCTCAACGCGCTGCTTTCGACACTCCACGTATCCAAAATGATGTGCCAACCCAGAACGCCATGCATGAACGTGGTGACAAGCAAACGCAACCGCAACGCCTCCCTATGTGCCACTGGTCTTGAATGCAAGCTCGCCTTTATACAATGCCGACCGATCACATGTCTACACTTGCTGCGGGGTCAGCCATGTGGCTTCGATGCAGCCCTCGTAGAATTGTCTCTGGCCGTTTTCGCTCTCAACACCGAAGCCCATGTTGCGTAGCTTTCCGGTATCCCAACCACTAACAAACTCTCCTTGGCCGCCGTTCTCCCTATCTACAGCATCCCCAAGCCTGATGTAGTCGGCATGACGGCACACAGTTTGAGAGTAAGACCATTGCAGGCAGTTGCCATCATTAGCACATTCTGATCCGCACGAGCCGGCATTGCGGTGCGCGGGGCGGTCGTTCGGGACGGGCGCTTGCGAGAGGTTGTCCCACCACTCCTTTGAGGGACCCTGTGACAGGAAGTTGTGCGTGTAGGAGAGGAACGAGGAGTAGGTGAATGGTTTCTGCGCAGTAGTGTTAACCGGGTTGCATGCCAGAACTTGGAGCCTGTAGGATACTTACAGTATTGTATGGTCGTGTCCTCTCCCATCTCCACAAGTCTTCCATCTGCTGGGGCTTGAGCTGATGCAGCGAGAGCATCGGGACGCACCACTTGTCACGTGTGGTAGTGACATCTTTGGGCTTATCGCTTGCGAATGTCGGATACATAGCCTCGAGCTTGTGTCCAGTGGCGTTTTGGATGGCATAGGAAAGGACAGCGTCGCCGCGCTGCTCCTCCTTGACCCACTGCTCGTACCTGACGCCTAGTCGGTTCTCGCGCGGGATGTCGGTCGAGCCTGGGCTCTTGGCTGGAATCAATTGCTTGAGGAGGCCCTGGGAGAGAACAAAGCCTGCGCCACCGTAGGCAAACTGGCGGCCCTCGGATCCCTTGTGCGGTTCACCCAGATAGTGTGGTTGCGAGGCGTCGAGCTGGCTAAGCAGACGGAACAGGGTGTCCCAGAAGAAGTAGACATCCGACTCAATGAAGACGAACCATTTTGCCGAGGGGTTTGTCATGTATGCCTTATCTACCATGGGCAGGTACTTGAAGCGGTCGAGCTTGAAGGACCGCTGCTGCTCCTTGACGGTCTCCCCGCCTTCGTGTGCCTTCTTGTGCTCGACATAGATTTGGAAGTCCACGTTGTCCTTTTGGTAGCTCTTGGGGAGTTCGGCGAGGATGTCGATAACATGGCGGTCGCCCAATCGCTCTTCCCTATCCCCCACGATGATGAGGTTCGTAATGCAGCTCGATACGGTGCTGAGGTGTGCTTTGGTCTCGTGTGCGCCGTCCGAGGCCACCTTGAGGACGACCTGCACCTCTTCGAGTAGCTTTGTAGGGAAATTCTGGCAGTAGTCGAGCTCGATGGAATTGGCGGCTTTGGTCTCGAGGGGCGGGAAAAACGACTTTGTCTTCGCTTTGTGGACTGGCGCCTGCGGATGTGATGCTCTCCGATGCGAGAGGGTGTATATGAAGAAGAAGATCAGGAGGCCGGGGAAGAGGAATCTCCATGGCCGCCGTGCCAAACGGCCAGCCAGCGGTTTCAACATGGTGCCGTCGCTGCGGCCGTGGGGGGTTCTGCGGTCGCCGGGGGGTCGGGAGAGTCGCTGTCAGTAGAGACGACGACGAGGGCAGGCGAATTGCGATGGGCAGGTGGGCGACGTCACCGGCACATTAAGTAGTCCGTTCGTGTTGGGTGGAGGTGTCGACAACGACGATGGCGCGCATTGGCCCTGAACCGTCGTACTGCGCGAGTCCAGCCCGGCTCCTGACCAGAACGCGAATCCGCTAGTTCCCAATCCGGAATGGTCGCCGTCTTGGTATCCCACGACTCCTCTGATGAGCATTCTTCCTGCTCTGGCCCTGTTCTCGACGTGACTTCATCGCTGTTTGCGACACCTGGAAATCAAGAAGGCAGGTATACTGCAGGCATAATCAAATCTGGCACGCCTTTCGCACTACTGCGGTTGCTTGTAAACGACTGCCTTTCGGCTTTGTTGTATCCTGCTTCATCTTCCACGTCCGACCAATCTGGCAGCGCCTCTTCGTCACTCATCATGTGCTGCGGAGATCGTACAAGCTCGTCTGTCACACTTTCCAGCTCCGCAGTGAAATTGGATGATGCTGCGCTTTCTGACCACTGATACTCCAGCTCCTCGAAAAACACGTTATATTCCGGATCGTCCTCTACATCAGACCAGTCTGGCAGATTGTCGAAATCTTCGTCGCCAATGGTTTCATGATCATTCTTGGCGACCAGAAGACCAATAGACTCCAGAAAGAGATCACAGGAGTCGAACGACCGTCTTGTGAAGGAAGGGGTGCGATCCATATGTGCTTGCGGTCTAAACGATAGATCAACGTTGCGGTATTGCGGATCCGAAGATTCCGCCTCTGCCTTTATACTGAAGTCTTCTTGGTCAATGAGCCAATGTTTGACTTTATCGTGGTGCGTTGGATCAGCAAGCCCACCAAACGGATTCGCGTCATTGTTACGTTTTCGTTGCGTATACTCCTGCTTTGATTGTCGCACTGAATGGATTGCCAACGGATTATCCATGCTGTTTTCCACACTAGTGACATTCAGCGCCCTTGATCTGGCAAGCGATCCTTCGGCGAACTCTGGAAATACGCGATTGAGTTGTTCGTGCGCGACGCCCCCATCGTGCCCACGTCGGCGGGCTGCATGGTCGCGTTCGACTTCCCTTGCTGAGCGGCATGCGAAAGACAAGTTTGAGTCACTAGTTATCGTGTCGTTGTCGTTGGGGAGAAAGGAGACCGTAGACCCTCGACCAACGGCTTGCAGCTCATCAAGTGGTAACCTCTCGACGAAACGCAGTATGGTAGTGTTGACTTCGAGAGCGACTCGTGCGTCTAGATGGCCTATATTCCTATTGACCTGATCTCTGAAGGGAAGAACGTTACTCAGCGTTCTATCTAGTATCGCAGTAATAGAGCAGAGAGATTCCTCGGATACTAAGTTGGAGATTGTTGTTGTTCGTGATCCGCTACAGACCGTTGCTTGGGTCTCGGAAGTTGATCTTGATCTGCTCCTCATGCTAGGTATGGACGAATTCGTGGAATCATCGCTCCTTCCAAAGCTTGATGTCGTCAGCCGAGCGCGCATTGAGCGGATGATCTTCTTCACTTTGCCCATATTAACGTTTGCGGCGCGGTTGAGGTGTAGATTGGGGGTTAAGACGTTGTAGTTCATACCGGAGAGTATAGCGGTATAGCGGTATAGAGGAAGAAGTACTGCGTCGAATTCCTGGGTTCGTTTCACGGACGCAGCGGTACGTACTCGTTAACGGTCTTTCACTACACATTAGAGGATATTTCATCGCGTCGCGATCATGGTATACTCTGCCAGCAACTCGCTCAGTTAATGGTTTCTGGGGGCTCAGTCATCGAAGCTGATGCACGTTATACTCAAGTAACGCTGTGAACTGTATTGAAGTATGAATAGGAGCGTATGTTTGCAGAAGGTTATAGCGTACCACTCTGTGACAGTACAGTCAGAGTGTGACATGCATAGCGTATATAACGACAGCTCCACTGCTGCACTGATCCGCGTACGTCGAAGACCACACTTTCATACTACGACCACTGATCTGGCTAGCAAGAAACGTATCCATCTTGCTCAACGACCAGGAAAACGTCTAAGTAGTCGAAGATACAGCTCAAAGACGTCGTTATGAAGTACCAATATCTCGTAAAATCGCTTCTTTTGGGTCTGGCCACCTCTGCACCCACCGCACCCCCAATTAACGACCTAGATGTAACCATGATGCAGTCCTGCTCTGATAAGCCCCACCCAACTCTAGTAGACTACAACATAGCCGGAGTCGCATGGTGTGAAAAGCACGTCCGCGTCAACGCTCCAAATCCCCCTATGCTCCCCAAACCCGTCATCGATCCAAGAATCCTCCGGTCATGCCGCCTCTCCGCGCCCCGTACACATTCATGGTGCCCAACCCGGACAAGAACAAGCCTGGATTTGCTCTCCAGCCAACATTCGAAGTTCTTGGATTTGCGCCCATCACGCGAGAAATGTGTCTTTGGGGTTGGGGTGTGGGTCGCCAGATTTACGAGATTCAGTCGGAGCAAGCCAAGAAAGGCAATATTTGTCGTGGACAAGGAGGTGTTGCTATGGTTCAGGGGTGGAATCAAACTATATGGTGGAATGAGTTTGGAATAGTATTCTGAGTCAATGCAAGATTCGTCGCTTGAATGTAGTACGTTGAGTTACTAGAGGTAGTCATTTTCATTTGATGTACCTATCAACTGATGCTACATTCCGTCGCCCCGGCGTCGTTAACGCTGAGGCATCTGAGAAATGCCCCTGTGCGACTGCATATGACCCAAAACCCCGCTACCAACTGCACGCCCTGGGTATCTTCGCGAACACCTGCCATTATGTTCGCTGATCAAATAACGCAGCCTGATGTATACATCTCTCACCATCTTCTCCACTATGCAAGATGAGACTCGGGTATTTCCGCTTGTTGCCCTGCATCTTTGGGTCGGTGGGCATGTTGGGAGTGCTGTTCAGGTGTAGTTTTCGCGCAGGGTATGGCAGTGAAGGTAGGTCGCTTGGCAGAATAAGTGTGGGCTCATACGCGAAAGCGGCGTTGTTTACGTGAGCTAGATATTCGGAGCGGCTTAAAGTATCCAATTTCGTCTTCTGCTTTCCGTTCTTAGAATCCTCCTTCACCTCGCCGTCACCAATACCGGCGATTAGCCAGGGAATTGACGTTACGTGTTTGTTATTGCGCCAAGCTCCTAGCGGCACTGGGAACCTATATCAACTTGGCCTGTCCCTCCAACTTGCTCTTCTTCCCTTCAACTGTCACTAGCTTTTCCGCAACCAACCAGCTTTGGGATCACTCAAGGGTTTCTCCGAACTCTTAGGGATGACTCCTTCGATGCCAATTCAACTGCCCTACTTGGTTCTTTTGGTTGGACATCGACGCGCCGGGGGTTGGTGTGAGGAACTACCTTCTTGGTACGTCCTGCCAGAGATGTCTCGATGTTGGTCTGACAGCCTTCACGATGCCTTCTCGCATGCAGTACAGTTCGTTCGACCTGCGATTGTTTGTGTTATCTGGATAACGTACTCAACGTCTGGTGGCTTGGTGGCAATGCTGATGTGTCCGGTCCACGCAGGCGATGGTTGCGACCACGCAAGCGAGTAACAGGCACACTGACTTAGACACCGCCGTACACGTGCAGCTTGGTGTCAGACAAGCATGCATCGTGAATACGGGACATTTTCATTGAGTACCTTTCCCTTATAGAAAGGCTTGAGGAAGATGATTGCTTCTTGTCTGATACGTGATACATAGCCTCCGAGTCTGTAATAGGATACGACATGGCACTTAGTTGCTCGCTTTGAGTATTGAACAGTGATGTTTACTAAAGCTGTGTCAGTAACAGTCAATCATGTTGAACAGTTGAGCTGCACTGATCTTGACGCCTCTGTTGTATCGCCTTCACATTATAAGACATCTCGAAATGATTCCTCGGAGCTATCTGGTGGCTTCTATTACATTCGAATATGCATAATGAAGCCCATGAACCTGTCCTGGCGTACAAAAAATCGCATCTCGAGGGGCTCGTGGACGCCTGAACATCCTCTCAAAGAGCTGAAATGGCGGAAACGCTTCAGTTTTCCGGGAAGAATAGTGGCAACGACCTTGCCCTTACACTAAGCATCAGTAGCCAAGTGTAGTCCGCTAGATCTTGTCCCTGGCGGTGACACACCGCAGGAGCCAGGATATATGTTGAGCTGGTGGCGCCCGGGCCCATTCTGTTTGGCAGCCTTGCGTCAAGAATCTGTCTCCCTCTCTCACACCCATTGTCGCAGCTTCAATTCTTTCCACGCTGCCCAAGCTCGCTATGACTAGATCCAAGTTCGACTCGCCTTCGCGCACACCTCGCGGCCAATTTGCCTCGCCGCGACACTCACTGTCGATACCGCCAACACGATCTTGCTCAGCACGTCAAGGTTGTCGCGACGACTACGAGGAGGATCAAGATGGTCAGAAGTGGGAGCCAGCTCGTGGCAACACGCTCAGCAGCTTCATCGCCGACTCGCCCTCATCGGTGAGCACTACCATGGAAGGAGACAAGTGCCCGTGTCTGACAGTTGATGCCACAGGCCTGTCACTAATCTTGTAGTGCTATTCTCAACACTGATCAGCTGCGAGAACAGCTTTCTCAGGTTCGGCTCACCGCTGATAACGAGTACCTCGACCGACTCCAGACTGAGGAGCAGCTGCGTAGCGAAAGCGCGCGCCCTGACAGCTACGTTGAGCAGTTCGAAAGGCACGAGCAGCGCGTACGCGAACTCGAGGCGGACGTCGTTAGGCTTGAGGCTGCTCTTGCCGGTGCCCGGGCGGAAGCACGTCAACAAGATGTCATCATGTCCGCATTGGAGGCAAGACTGGCCACTGTCAATTCGAGCAGTGCCATCACTACCACTTCGTACGTTGCTTTGCTCGTATGATGTTGTATAAGCCAACTAACAATTTAGTATGACTTCCCACTCGATCGTTTCCGTGCTTAAATGCGACAGCTGCCGTCAGCAGGGCCTGCCTTGTGACAACAGTTATCCCTGCGGCTCTTGCAAGTTGGAACGCGAATGTGTTCGTCGCAAATGTGGATAGTACTACACGCTTCGCGCTCACTGTCGCGACGACTGTGAATGCGTTCACATGGATGATCATATCAAGGGCGCTAAGACTGGAACGGAGATCAAAGAGCTAAAGTAGATTTTGTGGATGTCCTATGGCGCCTTGCGAAGCAACGAGCTTTTCTTAGACTGCCACGCTGAGTTGTCGTCCAGTGGATGAGTTCTAAGAGCTCAGTGTGGCATGACGGGATGGATTTGGGAAGGAACACTTTGCGGAATGATGGCGCTGAGAGCCTCCAGACTCAGCTCAGTATAGACAGCTAGGACTCTTAAATCCGAAGATGACGAATAAAGCTGTATGTATGTCGCTGACCGGAAGACTGTGACTAGTGCATGAGGTACCTAGGTAAATTGATGTCTTGGTGAGGTTGGTAAGCATCCGGCTATTCCTTCCCATCCGCGCGGCCCCGCTTCCGGCACAGTAGCCTACATCATCACACCAGACCTCCGCATGTGCTCATGATATCTTTCCTACCACTTTCTAAGATAGAACCATCCCAATATCGATCATTAGTTCAGGCCAAGTCGAAACCAATCAAAATGGCGAGCACTAGCGAGTTGCGTCTTCACTTGCTTATCTATCTCATCTAGGAACAATCAGCTAACGAAAGCAGTCTCGTGAGACTAGCACAGAAACTTGTTCGAGATGGACCTTGCAAGATAGAACACACAGCACGTCGTGTGCGAGGTCTTTTCAATGGAAAATATGCATTCGATACACTCAATGCGCATCATGTCTGGGAATTGGAACTGCGCTACCCACAGTACTTATTGATGAACTCCTTGGAGGGCCCTCATGACACTGACCATACTCAAGATACTACGTACCGATATCGAGCTTCACTTCCAACGCTAAGCTATTGCGTGGCTCTGCCATTGATGGAACGAATGGAGGCGCAGACCTTGGGGTTCTGACGGTCGGTAACCGCGACAGCAACCGGATTCTGATTTTCAACACCGGCAAACTGAAAGATCTTGTGAAAGTCGACTTCAGAGCTGTCGATCAGTGGTTTGAAGAAGACATGGAGATATATGGCCATCCCAAAGACCCCTACAAGCGCATCGACATCCTGCCTTCTTCTCGTAATGTCAGAGTAGCCATCGATGGTGTTACACTCGCGGAAAGTTCAAGTCCTCTATTCCTTTTGGAGACCACTCTAAGGACGAGGCATTATCTGCCGCCCACGAGCGTGAACTGGGAATATCTCACACCCAGCAATACAGTAACGCTCTGTCCGTACAAGGGACGCGCGGAGTACTACAACGTCAATATTGGTGGGAAATTGTACAGGGATCTGGTATGGTACTATCGATATCCGACTTCGGAGAGTGCTCCGATTGCCGGATACATGTGCTTTTACAACGAGCTGGTTGAAGTTTATGTCGATGGCGTGAAGGAGACGTCGTAGTCGTGGCTCTGTACTGGCTGTTAAGATCTTCAATCTAGGCGCATAGTCAAATCTCATCATGCTTTGATCCTTATGGTTAGAACAACGTATCACACCCTGGTGCAAACTTGT